GCATTCCCCTACGGCCGTGAAAAGTCCAAAAATACTAAAGACACAACGTAAGGGGGGGAGGATCGCGAGATGGACAAGGGGAGATTCTCTCTTCTGCGGAGCGGCACAAACAGGATTTCAAGAAATAGTAGAAATCGAGTAAAAGTTCCGCTGACAAGCTCCGCTTAGTATTGGGGAAACATGATCGTTGTGAGAAACGAAGAATCATCCTTCAGAAACTGTGCTTACCGTACAGAGCGAGCAGCAGCAGCCATCGTTTCTCCCGCATGTTGGCACTGTAACAAATAAATTAATCGTGTTAGCTAATGGAATCATTTGATATAATATAATAGAAAGAGTAAACTTCATATAAATTATTAAAATTTTATCTCTTATAATATTTTTTTGCCGTTATTTTTTTTTACACAGAATATTCTAAAAGACGAAGAAGTTTCTATTTGCGAAAGGTCAGTCAAATTTCTCAGGGTGTTGAGAGTCAATTGCACGGCACTGTAAATCGGCGAACATAATCAAAGCAGAGAGCCTTAACATTATAGCCGTAGACTGTAGAAGTGCTTGAGCATATGGGAACGGGTAGGAACTTTCTCTGTGCTGTCACCACTGCTAACCATATAATGCAAGGATAATGCGGGTGTTATATAAATGCGTGATCACGTAATATCGGGTGTGACTTTGTAGTAGCGATTGCGAATGTCTAATTACCAGAGGGTATGCTTCTGCAGCGCACGCATCTGTTTAACAAGATCTTTCGGAAGAGATTCTCGATGTGATAATTGTGATAATCTGTTGATTCAATAATTCATTATGCTAGATACACGAGAATATTGCGATAGGTATTGCATTCTCGATAATAATATCGAATTTGTATTCTGTCTCTGAATATTGAATTTGCATTAGAATCTTTAAATCTTATGTGTACATGGTTCTTGTATATCACATACGTAGTTAACACGTGATTTACTTGTGTTTATCAAGGAGTTATAAAAAAAATATTTTCTTCCTATCTTGAATTATTCCTTTGTAGATGACCTTCATTTTTCCGGACTGTCGATTACTGTCGATAATTTACATCCTGTAGTGGTGTCACGTCTTTCTAAGTTTTTTTTTTTTCTTATCTTATCTGGGGAAAGTAACCTTGCAACCTTTCAGCATCAAATTAGATTACCAATCTTGTGAATCTTATTGTTAGTTATATCACGAGTATAAATATTAAACTATACATATTTGTTAAAATTTATACGATTTGTGTGCACGATCGACTATTAATGAGATTTGAATCACAGTAAATCTAATAAGTTTGGCACTCGCGCCAATAAATATAAGCTCTATACACATATATATATACATACAATGCATTTTGATTATATAAAAGAATGCAATATGATTTAAAATGCACAACAGAATTTAATTCCGCTCTATCGTCTTTAACTAACAATAAGTAGAAAGGTGGCTAGTGATTTTCAAGCATAAATATATGCGATTCCTCGCACGTTCTTCTCAGTTTCCGCACAGAAATGTGGAACGCTAGAGCCAATCGCACGCAGTGCACCACGTACATGCTCGCATTAATTGGGTGCGCTATCGCGCTCTAGTTCTCAGACAGATTTTTATCGTTTCTATAAAAGTAGGAAAGAAAGAGAGAGGATGCTTCCCCCGCTGGCTAAAGCCATACAAGACTACATTATTCGGTTACACAAGTTTTCGTAATTGTTCCCTGTATTCGTGTCACAATACGAACGAATTCTCAGGCAGCATGGGAAACATCCCCAGATTAAAGATTAATTTTATCCGGAAGCTGCGCAAATGAGACCCGAATCTTAACGAGATCTATGAATATTCAGACAATTCTTTTACTCAGCAAAATATAATATATAGTATTGCGTTTCGTAACAAGTAGTATACAATTTATTATTTTTTATTTGATTTTTCGTCAATATTTACAATTTTTATTTATTATATTTATGGCATTATGTATTTTTATGATTATGACAGATTATTACGTGAAGAAATTAATATAAGCCTTTAGAAAAATTATCATACGGCTAAAAGATTTTAGTTTATGCATTATGTGAAAAATAAGAGAGAGATACAATCTCCAAATACATCCATTGCGTATATTTTATCGCCTATTTAACGTGTCTCTTGTCGGAGATGTCTCCTTTGTCAAGTTATGTACGGAATATGTTACTCGCATAACATTACCTTACGGTAAATTACGTTATGTTATGACATACGAGTAACGGTCATCTATGCTCACTAAAGGTCACCGGAAATGATGGCTCGTACGTGCGCGACGAGTCACTTGATTCATCAGACTTCTTAATCTTGGCGAGTGTGTAGTGAAAAATGTTTTAAAAATTTTCATTTTTTTCTCGAATAAACTAAGAGAGAATTATTAAAAACGCACAAACATTTTTATTAAAAATAAATAATAACATTCTAACAATTGCAATATTTGGAACTCTGACATGAGTTAGTTATTTTATTTTTTTTAATCATTTATATATGAAATTTTTATGCATTTTTTTTCTTGTGACAAACAAAATTTTTCGATCGGGCGTTGCGTTAAGGTGTGGTTACAAAACTCGATAGCCTTCAAAAGCACAGTATGCCGAAATAACAGGCTTTCATTTCCTCGTGCGTGCTATTCGAATGTTCGCTCCGACGTGTATTATTGAATTAATCGTCGACTGAGAAAAACTGTGCGACTGATATCGAATGCAATGCGATACGATGAGAGAAAACGTTAATTAAAAGATGCCTTTATGTGCTGCAAGTTGTGAAAGGTTGATACGGAAATTTCCTTCGTTTTTTTTTTCGAGAATATCGTTCTTTTTCTCGTTAACGAAAATTACTGTGTGATTTATACATAGAAATAAGATAAAATCATATATTATGTATTGTAAATAATATGGAAAAATACAAACTGTATAATTTGGACGAGAATCCTATAATTAAATATGACTTAGTAATTTATCGCATTTACCGCTTGAAGCCATAATTTACATAAACAGCTGGTGAGTGACATTTAGAAGCTAAATATCACGAGAAACGAAGATACAAATGTATTTTATGGGACACAATTTTTTATTGTTCTGCAAAAGTTTCTAATAAAAGGATGTAATAAAGGACGCAATAAAGCGATACAAATTTTTGAAAGATTATTGATCTTATTGCAGCGAGCTTTGTCCTCTTTTCTTAAAGCAGTGAACTAAGTCAGATTAAATCACACACGACATAATGGACATCAATGAGATATTTATTTAAAGCGAACCTGTTTGAAATAGATTTATTGTAATCCGTCAAATCAATGAATCGATCGCGAATATAACGCTTCTCGCCATTCTAATTTTCATGCTATCCGCACATAGGGTATTCGTTACATTAGTTACGAGCATTGCTTGCCTTGTAGGTAGAAAGTGTGTAATTGTGTAAGGCAAACATATGCAGAGCAAACATTAATAATCGCAAGGGGAGCTGTTGATCGGGCGTGCGCGTCAGAAGTATCCTTCGTAAATTATAATTACTATAGTTTTTTTATGTAGAGTATGAATTTGTATTGAGCTTATTTGGATGAGCGCCAGGACCGCATTGAGGATTTTTAAAGGATACAAAATGAGATTCTGCGCAGCTGTGTCCAGAGTGAAGTAAACACGCGTCGCAACAATCGATTTTGATTTCTTTTTGTGAATATATATTTGCGAATGACTAATAGCTTCATGTTTAAATGCAGGAGCAAGCTTAAACATTTTATGTTTAAGGGGGCATACCCATTTGAAATCTCGAAAAATGAGTACATTTTCTAGATTTTTTGCAGCGCAACGACTTGATAAAAATTTTTAATTTTTTTTACGATAATAATACAATATTATTAACTACTTAAATAAAAATTTCAGCTTAAAAAAACAATTTTTTTTTTAAAGTTATGGGAATATTTGCGGAGCCCCTCCAAATTTTAGGTGACTGCACGGTGTGCATGAAAACGTTCGTATATCATTTCTAAAATCAAAAATCCAAGTTTTTTCTTATTAAACATTGTAATAGCTATCTGCTATCCAAACGTTTTTTCAAAATTCCAAAAAATAAAAAAATGGCAGTGTGTTGAAAAAAAGTTTCGGATTTTTTGAAAAAAAGTCTATCTTTTTTTTTATAACAAAAAATGGAGAATCAAATGTAAATACTCGCATAACTTTTAAAAGAAAAATTTTTGTTTAAGTAGTTAATAATATTATATTAATATTGTAAAAAGTTGAACATTTTTATCAAGTCGTTGCGCTGCAAAAAAATCTAAGAAAATATACTCATTTTTTATTTTCAAACGGGTATGCCACCTTAAATATGGGAACGCCTCCACAGAAATGATCTCTACATTCCAGAGCATTAAAGCGATAAGTAGACTAGAAAACAAAATTTGTAATGCTTTCGATCAGAGATAAACCAGGGACATTTCTTAATGCTAAAAAAGAGCAAATTAAATTAGAGAAGTCGAATTTGTAAACAGTTGAATTTGAAAAATTATTTTGATAAACTGTATTTTTATTTTTTTCTTTTTAATATAAACAGTGAGAAATTATTATGAAGCGTTATTCATCTTGAATGAAAATTTTTCTTCTTAATTTTACTATATTTCCATAAGCTACTAGATTTTTTTAAAGTGCTATAATTTTTATTCTATCTCACCAATATATCGCGTTTCCAAGCTTCCGTTCTAATGCTAGAACGATTTCTCCTATTAGAATTTAGAAATTTTTAAATAATTTTATAAGTCTTTCTTTGTGGGTGTATATTTCGCTAATTTTTATATGTTGTTTAAATAACATATTATTAATTTACGTGTAAAGGAAATATATAGAACTTTTTTCTTGCAGAAAAACAAATTTAACGAGTAAATATACACATACAGCTTTTAGTTGTAGTGGTATATTTGCAAATAAGTTTCTAATACTTGTGTATTCACGAAGTTGATCGTACGCTCCAATGATCAGGAATTAAAATAATCAAACTCATTTATCGCAAAGCAATTGCTTGCGCAATAATGCGATATCGTTTGATATTCTTACCTATTTTCTTACATTTAAAAAATGTTATTTTCGAATTTCTTGGCGCATTTGCCAAACATATCTTAATTTTTATTAAAAACTGTTGTTTTGTGCAACGATTCAAAATTCATTCAATCGAAAAGTGTTTTGGCCGTTTTTGCCGATTCAGACGAAAACTTCGGTTCCGGAACAAATAGTTTTACTCTTGATTGAGAATAAAACTTATTCGACCATAA